GGCAGCCAAGCAACTACCTCCTTACAGACACATGGAATTTTAGAGACCTAGCAAAGTAACACTGAGCTACACGATGCTCCAGGCCAAGCAAAGGCCCCCCCACTGCCCAGAATCACAGACACATGGGAGGTGGAGGGCTGTAGCCAAGACCCCACTTCTAGTCCTGCCTCGGCCAAGAACAATTCTGTAACTAAGCTGACAAGCGTCAACTATCCTCACTATTCAAGGCTCCGCAGGTGCCGGGCCTGGTGCGGCTCTCTCCCAACATCCCATAACAGCCTTATGAATGGTAGCATCATCGTCCCCATTTTTTGGAGACACCAAGGCTGGGAAAGGTTAAGTAACCACACTCAGGTCTCAGAGTAACCAGTGAGCCGGGTCCAAACAAAGGGGTCTTGTTCCCCAGGCCACACCTCTGGTCCTGTGTCCACAGCCCCGAACGAGGGCTCTGATGATGTGTAAATCTGCAAAACCAGGGGCTGGCTGGGCTGCAGGGAAACACGGCTGCTGGTCAGTTCCTCGCCCTTTTTCAGTTGCAAGCTCATCCTTCCATGAGCCTGTGATTCTGAATTAAGATTTCTAGGCAGGCACTGCTTTACACTTCACAAAATAGTCACCTGTTATTTCACGTGCCTACACTCACCCAGGTAGAACAGATGTGATCACTTCAATCCCAAAGATATGGGGCAGCTGGTGGGCTAACAGTTGCCCCCCAGCCCTGCAGCTGGGGACCGTCATCACTGGAACCGTTCCACCTTTGCCCCCACACAACTCTGGCCCTTACTGAATAAAAACTCAGTTCAGTTCCACAAAAACACATTCAATTGTGTTTCGGAGAGTTAGTCCTCACCTGAGACCATGAAAATGCTTCTACCCAGACAGGAGAAAAGCAATATTGGCCTTTCAAAAGGAAAGATAAGAGTGAAATATAGCATGACTGTCCAGGCTTAACGTCTGTTTGTAAAACTAATGCCAAAGTTTTGGTAACATCTGCATCTTCGGTCATAACCACACGGCTGAAAACTCTAACACTATGATAACATGTTGGGTTTGCAATTCCAAGAGATTCACATGTCTCTGAGGAGTTACAAAACCATACACAACCGATAAGCACAGGCAACGGAGAACAACGCCGACTGCCAATAGATCCATCTGGAACGGGAGCTCTGGAGCTTGTGTGGCCGCAGAGAACCACTCCTCAAACACCACAGGACTTCCCCAGTGATGCTCAAACATTAGGGGTCCCCAGAATCTACTGGGGACCTTGCAGAGACACAGGTGCCCAGGCTCTCATCTGCCAGGTCCTGCAAGGGGCCCTGCGAACTGCCTTCTCAGCCAGCACCCTCAGCAATTCCGAGACCAGCACAGTCAGACCACCTTTGGAGAAATGCTATTTGCTCACGGAAGTCCTGCCCCGGGGAGGGCCATAGGTCCCACACTCCAGTGGTGTTCTTACTTATGTTGGCAAGCAAGACGGTCAAAACCTGGAGGCGACACCTTGGGGTCTATTTTTAGTCCTTTTAATGGGGAATAAACTGTAGCTAAAACTTCTTAAACAAATGAGAAATAACCACCAGTTCTTCATTAAGTTTCACAGTTAGATGATCCATCCCTATTCTGTCCTATAGTTCAACTTGCTCCCTTCACCTATCTAGACCCCTCTGAACATCCAGTGTGGGAATTGCCCAATCTGTCAGTAAGGTAAGAGTTTTCTAAACTACTATCCATATGACTCAATTTGTCAGTAAAAACTGCCACCGGCGCTGTGCTAGCAGAAAAATGTCCATAAATGCATTATTGCGACTGGCAGATCGATGTCTATAATAAAAACAAATAGATTTAACAAGTGCCTGCTTTTACGAGTTGTACCACCAGTGTGCTGTGCGTTCAGTCTCACCCCCAGACTTCTGGGAATGGCAGAAGTGAGGGCTGGAGACTGCTGACTTCACAAGTGCTACGGGTAGGAAATTATTCTAACAAGACAATCTCCCAAGTAGCAGAGTGGACATTCGAGGCATTTATAACTCTCACAAACCCTTCCATGGTTACGCGCATACACACACAATGAGTTTAACAACTGTAAGGAAGTGTTTCTGTAGAATTTTTAATTGCTTTTACCACAAATGCATCACAAGGCAGATGGGTTTACTCCAGGCTAGGGGGAGGGGATACGAGGCCTGCCTCCCTGGAGACCCCACACCTGTGCTAAGCCCCAACTAGAAAACAACTTGCAGTATCAAAAGCAAGTTTCAGCATTCAACGTGTAGCCAAGGCACCCCTGCTGTTGGGTCCCTGGGGCAGGTAGGTATTTAGTTACTTAGGCTGCAGCAGGTATCAGGAGGGGAGCCGCCACACACTGGCTTAACTGCCAGGGAGTCCCAGCACTGTGACCAACTTACATGGGAGCCACATCTGCCAAAACCACCCTGACTCCTTCAAAGGTTCCCAAAGGTCACAGAAATGAGTTATTCCTTTTCTTAGACAATTCACTTTAATAGCTACATTATATGGTTTTCTCCAACTACTGCAGCTCTCCTACATAGGCTCTTTATTACTGTTAATTGTTTTAGGTCAAAAGAAAACTAGACTTTCTTTCCACTGCCCAGCAGATATGCAGCAGTTACTCAAAGACCACAGAAGACACACCTTAAAGTATTCTGTCTACAACACGGGTCTCAAACTTTCATCTGCTAGGCCCAAGACAGGCCCCCGGAGGGAACAGACTGGGAACCTCCCCCAATCCAGGGAAGCCACACCGACTTTCACTGCAAACCAGGAATGGGTTATTCCGGGACTGGCTGGTTGATCATGAGCATCTGCGAAAAGGCTGCTAGCGGATCCACTCTCACCCAAGGGTAATATGACAGCTTGCATGTCTCTAATTTAAACTTTTTCAGGTTTTGTTTAAATAACATTCTGAGGTAAGACTGAAGCTCTTTCATTAAGTGGCTGTATGGGAAGCTACCACCCCAGGAAACAAGGGTGACAGCAGTCAGGTGAGCTCGGGGCCTTTCAGAGACTGGGAGCCCCATATACACATATGAGGCGACCAGAGACATGACATGAAGTCAAGGCCCTCAGGACAGCGGATCGAGAAGAGGCATCTTATCCTGGGGCAAGGGAGCTGGGCGGGCTCTGAGCCAAGGGTGAGCCAGAGCTGATGATAACGGTGCTGGGTGACAGGAAGAGAGAACTCAGAAAACACCGTCTTGCTTCCGCTTTTTTCTACCAAGAATATCCTGCAACCTGGAAGGGGCTCTGATGCCCAAGTGGGCGCTGCAATAGGACAGGCCGATGGTTGAAGCCACAGGCTTCTGAACGTCCTCTGCAAAACAAGACTAACAAAGACAATTCAGTAAGTTTGTTTCATTAAAAAATACTGCAAAGAGTGAACTGTTTGGGGTTCCTGAGTGCGGAAGAACAGAGGATGGAGGAGAAACGCCACGGGACCGCAGGAGCGCGTTCCTCCTCAGGGCTCCTTCCTCTTCCGTGGAGGACGGAGGCGGCCGATGAAGACGAGGTCAGGGAAACTGTGGACAGAAGGCCGAGGTGCAACACAACTGGTGACAAGAAGAGCAAAACAGAGGAAAAGAAAGGCCTTGGAATCTTGGCTGAGCAAGAGCGGTGTTCCCATCTGTCCACACCTAGGACTTGGTTTCTTTAAACCTTGCTCTCCTGAAGCCTGTCTAAAGCAGTGTCTAATAATGGTGGTTACATCTGGCACAGGTAATACAGATGTTTTAATGAAAGAATAGCCACATAGAAAGTACCTTACTGGCTATCTACTTGAGGCCCGGTTCATGCCACCCAGACTGTAACGGACACCACTCTACTATTCAAATTCCAACTCAGGACAAGAACCCGGGAAGAGAGAAACACCTGCGAGATCTAAGCCAGCTCTCCTTTGCTACTTGCAGACTTTGGAGCTGAGCGGTGGAGACATGGTATGAAGGGCCTGAGGGGAAAATGCCTCTGAGTTAACTGCCAGCTTGGGGCCTGGGGCTCTGACACTGCTTCCTGCAAACTGTTTTACCCCCAGTGTGCTATGCTTTCTCCTTTTATGTGCCCCCTTCCCCCACTGAGTATTTTATCCATTGAGGGACTTGTGAAAACAAAACCAGCTCCTAATCATGTCTCGGGATGGGGAGATGGTGAGAAGGGCCTGACTTAGATACTCTACAGGTTCATAACCATCAAATTCTTAGCTCTTTATGTTCAACAGTTTCAGCTTCTGCCATGAAGAACTGTGGTGACCCTCTATGGACAAAGCAGCCTCTCTGCCTGATGACTGCCACCCAACCCAGAACAGCTGTGCCCACATACACTTCATGTACAAAAAGTTCCTCCAGGACAGAAAACCACCTCTGAGCTGAGGCAATGAGAGCAAAAACCATTCTGAGATTTCAGGAAATGAGCCCAGGGAGTGAGGAATATGTAGTTTAGAACTGCTCTACTGTATTATTACCAACTTGGGAATTATGGTGCCCAGTGTGAATGGCTCTCAAACTCCACTTGTTTATAAGTGTTTACGGAGGCAATTAGGGCGAACGTATACAAACACCAGCCATGATAACGAGGACCCCACAACTTGGGCGTCCTCTTACGCTGTCTCATATGAGGAGGAAACGTGAGGCTCTGCACAGGATGCTAAACGCTTGCTGCAAGGTAAGGGCCGGAGTGAGGTTTCTGGACGCTTCCTGGGAGCAGAAGGCGCAAGGGCAGCCCCCCTGCACTGACTGATCAGCAATGCAGGACAGCAGAGTGGAGAGCATCGAAGGTACTGGCCAACTAGAGGGGTAGCAGGGGGTGGCCACAACCCCCAGGCCAGGTCACTGTCACCGTAGTGCAACTCGATCCAGGCACACCTGGGCCTGGGCGGGCTGAGGGAGGGTCAGGACGAGCGTCATACTGATGGCGAGGGGAACGGAGGGCTCCTGATACCCGCTCTCCCCAGGGAGAGCCCCGGGCTTTGGCGGGAGGGAGGCAGCCCAGACACTCACCGCGCAGCCCAGGGTGCCGACGGCAAGCAGCTCGAGCACAGGGACGCAGAGCACGGGGGGCGCGTGCACTGCCGGGCACGTCCGGGACGCGGGGGCGGGGCCGAGGCCGAGGGCTGGGGGCGGGGATTGGCGCCGCGCTGCGGAACCCGAGCGCGCCGGGGCGGGGCCAGAGCGGGGCGGGCCTGACGTGACGAAAGTACGGCCGAAGCGCGCGGGGCGGGCCCCAGAGTGGGGTGGGGCTAGACGTGCAAGGCGCGGGGCGGGGCCCAGAGGGCGGGGCCTAGAGGGTAGTGGGCGGGGCCGGGGTCCAGGAGGCGAGCGCCCACCGGGCGGAGCATGCCCAGTACGGCGGCCCGCAGGCTGACCGGGTTGGTCGCCGCCTCGCTGCCCGCCTCTACGGTGGGGTCCGGGTCTTCCCGCGCCACCAGCTGGCCTCCGCCCGACCCGTGCGTCGGCCTGCGCTCCTCCTCCCTAGGCTGGTCCGGCCCGCGTCTCAGGCTCTGTGCCTCAGTTTACCGATTGTTAGCCTTGCAGGCGCCGGCTGCCGTGTGCAGGGCAGGTGCAGAGGCGCCGGCGGGGGGCTTGAGGCCTGGCGCCGCGCGAGAGCCCGCGGAGCCGACTTGCTGGTCCTGGTACAGGCCCTGTGCGCCTGCAGCTCTGCGTGGCTGCTCAGGACTCAGCTCGCGCCAGGAGAGGTGACAGCCGTCTGGGGCTCCTCTGTCCTGCCTGGTCCCCTGGCATGGGCACACTCCGGCTCCTGGACCCTGGAAGCCAGGCCTGTCTCGGTGACTGTGAGTGAGCACAGGGATGCCAGACAACCTCTTGGTGTCATGTGGACATTCTTGATCTATGTTCCCCCAAAAAGAATGTTGGAGTCCTAACCCTCTGTACTTAATGGGACCTTATTTGGATATAGGGTCTTTACAGAGGTAAGTCAGAATGAGGTCATTAGGGTGGGCCCTAATCCTATGTGAATGGTGATCTGATAAGCAGAAGGTCCCTCAAGTCTATACAGAACTGTGTGAACATGGGGGGCGGGAGTGCCGCATCAACCCCAAGGAACACCTGGGACTACCAGAAGCTGGAAGAGAATATGGAGCACATTCCCCCCTAGAGCCTTGTGCGGGAGCAGGATCCTGCAGACTGCTTGACTTCAGACGTCTGGCTTCTAGACTCGTGACACAGTATGTGTGTGTTGTTTCAAGCCACACAGTTTGTGTTATGTACTATGCAGCCCCAAGCAAAAGTAGAGACACGTTGCATCCAAATCGGTGGGCATAAGGGCACCCCTCACACACCCCATGGCAGTATCAGGGGCCCCATCTCAGGCCCAGGTGTCCCTAGCCACTAAGCTGTTGGCCTCCTAGGTTCTGTGTTCTTAAAGGGAAAGCAGTCTCCTTCCTGAGCGACACAGCTCCTCTACTGGGATTTGGGCAGAATTCATACCTTGGTATTTGTGACCTCCATAACCCAACATACTAACATTATTAATAAAAATTTGTTGAGAGACCGTCAGCAGGGTTTGCTCTAGGATGAACTGTGACTCTACAGGCTGCATCATGGACCCCTCAAGGGCCCCACCTGGGCCCCACCTTGGCTGAGTCACTTTGAAACATCTGCTCATGGAAAATGAAGCACCTCCTGATGGCACATGGTGATCAAAAAGGTACTTTTTCTCTAATGAGTCTGGACATACCTTCAGAATCCTCAAAACTGCTCGAGACAGCCTTGTAAGCCTTTAAGCTAAGAGGGCAGGAGAAAAGAAACACCTTTGCCCTTTGTTCTGATCTTTTCTACTAGCTTACTGTGTGACTTTAGGAGACAGATTCAAATGATCTAAACCTCAAGGTCATCACCGTAAGGGATTTTTATTATCATCTGCTCTACGCAAGGCATGTACGTAGGCATGATAAACATTAGTGGCAATATGCCTCTTTTATAGTCTCTTACGACTGGACCCAATCAGAACCAGGACCCCGATAGACCTGAAAAGGGAAAATAACACCCAAATTGTGTCTGGATGCCTACTGGTGTCCTAAGAAGTGTGGTGTGAGGTAGTTTTATGATTAATACAAAAATCCGTCTTTCTTTTTATCTGACTAGTATGTTAACATGAATTCCTAAGCCTCTAGCAAAAAGAGGTTGGCATCTCTAATTCCCACCCCAGGAAAGAATGGCCATTGTGGTGATCCAAAGACCCTTTAGGTGGGGTGTGTGGCCTTGGGGAGGGGTAGGTGAGAGAGAGAGAAAGAAAGAGAGAGAGAGACAGAGCACAGCATTGAGGGGACATGCATGGAACTGGCTCTGCAGGCAGGACTCTGTTGCTCTAAAGTCAGGAGCCAAATAGGGGTGTCAGAGCCAAGGGGGACTGGGAGAAGGCCACTGCCCATGCCCAAGGACTGGCCCTGCCAAAGACTGAGATGCTAGCACATGAGATCTCAGGCTTTCCAGTGAACAGAGCTGAAATCTGCACTCCCTATACTCACTGGTAAACTCGTCCCTTCTTGGTGCTTATTCTCAAAAACTTTAATTGTTTCCTGAAAAGCTCTCCTATGCCTCATTCCCTGTTTCATTACACCCACATCCTCACCCATGTGCACTTCCTGCTGTGAAAGTGGCCCAAGGAGAGCTCCGAATCGGGGAGATGGCCTGACGGGGAAGGAACACAAAGTCAAGAGATTTGGGATGGGGTCTCATCAGCCTCCTGCTGTGCAACCCCCCTGACTTTTCCATTTGTAGGATGACAGCGTTAGACTAGGGGAGTGAGAGTCCTTTGGGGTATCCCATCTTCAGATCAGTAAATCACATCCCATTCTTCTCTGGACACAGATTCCCAGGAATGACTTTTTACAAAAGAGGTACAAAACCGCCAGGAGAGTATGCGCCGCTTCACTCTGGCTTCTTCAGGGGGCATCCCTGGATGTCCTTTAAGATAAGCCAGTGGCCACTGGGAACAGTATCACTTTGCATTGTTTCTTTAAACATCTAGGTGAATACCTTTCAGGTCACGCAAATGAACAGGACCGGCGATTGCTTCCAATGATTTGCAACTGAAGAAATTTGTTTAATAAGCCTCTCTTTCCAAGCTACCCTCTGTGACATTAGAGACCATTTACAACAAAGCTGTCTTCAGTAGTCAAACTTAATCCTTACTACCCTACCTTTGGGGAAAGAAGGGATTTTATAACGATCACATAAAACCTTGTGTGGTTTGAAAGCCCCAAACTCCGGACAAACGCGCGAGTGTGCGTAACGAAAGAAGCATGTTACAGAGCTCCCCACTTTAAGTGTTTTACATGTGTTTTTTTTTAGGCTAGCATCTCCAGTGGTGAGTTTTGCCCATTAACACAATTGATTTTCTCAGCCGCAGTGTTCCTGCAAGGGTTGGAGCCAAGAGGCAGCCAGAGTCAGCACCTTGAATCTGGGTGGTGCAGTTGACCAGCCCGCTAGGTGGGAAGAGAGCATTCTGGGGGAGGGGGTGGAGTATAGTGGAGGGGTGGGGGTGGGCACTGGTTGTCTGATTGCACTCCCATTTATTTAGCAAGTAGTGTCACCTACACGAGGGCAAGCAGGGGTGGGCTCCAGGCTTCACCTTCACGAAGAGGGTAACGTCTGGGTGCCGGGTGGAGAAAGGGGAGGGAGGTGCAACCAGAACCTGGAAGGGGCTCCTTAGCTCTTGCATTCCTTCAAACAGGCAGAAAGTCCTTCTGCGCAGGAGCCCCTGGCTGCTTCTGTTGGTATCTGGACCCCCCTCACCCTGGGACGGTCAGGGAGAGCTCTGCCAGAGGCAGCCCACAAATTCGCCATCCGGACTTTCACTGAGCCCTCCTCGGAGGCCTGGTTGGTGCAGGGGCTGGAGGTGCCGCCTTTAGGGACATGTTGCGGCCCCACAGCTCGGAGTTGAGTGGTGTAGACGCTCAAGGAGACGGGGTCCGCAGTCTGGAGTAGAGACCATCCGCTTAGGAGATGTGCTGGGTCGTGGGGTAGAGAGGAGGCCCCTCCCTGTAGCAAGCCCTTGTCCAGAGGCCCTGTGCACTGGTCCTGTGTTGAGGGTGGCCATACACAGAGCAGACCAGCTGAGCAGTCAGCACATCTTCCCGGGTTGAAAACTGGTGTACGGAAAGTCCTGGAAGAGAAAATAAACGGTGCCTGCTTCCTGTTAGGGGAACACACACACACAGGTACAGGGTCACCGTTATTTGTGAAATTTGGATCCAGTAGTCTGGTAAGGGTTGGATAAAGATTGTCCCAAATGTTATATAGTTCCTCTTCTCAAAATGTGGCTAGTTTAAATAATTGAATATCCAGGGAATGACATGTAAGCAAGTGAATATGAGCCAAGTCCTCTGATGTACACAGACCAGGGTAGATGGGCTTAGAGAACTACTTCAGCACATGTAAAAGCTTTGGGGGACACTTTCCCAACCTGCGTTGGGCTATTTGAGTGTTGATTGCTCAGGACTGGGGATTTTGTTCGATACTGGCCCTTTGGAAAGAGGCTCCTACACTCATTACGAAGTGTTTTTGATCCATTTTCGGGAAGGGCTTTGTTTGTAACACGCTGCTGGCAGTTTGGGCAGAATCTTTTAAGTGGTGTGAAGTGCTGGGGAGCGTGCGCCTGGGCTGCCAGGAGGAAGAGGGGCTCCCCACTCCCCTGTCCTTCTGGGATAAGCTAGAAGCGCCCAGGTTTTTGTGACTTGGAAATTAAAGCAAGAGATGTGGGGATTTTGATGCTGAGCCTGTGATTTGTCCCCATTCGCCTCTGCCTGGGAAACTACAGATGAAAATTAAGACAGGAACACCAGCCACACCGTGTGTCTGTCTTAGCCTCCCAGATAATAATCTGAAAAAGAAAAAGTGGTTGTACTCCCTCTGGGGGGAATGTCTTCCACCTGACCCTATGCACTGAGCCACTGACTTAAAATAGCTGAGAGACAATGGCAAGAGTGGCCACATGGGCACAGTGAAGTTAGTGTGAGGATGGCGCGGGGGCTGTCTGTCCCACTGGTTGTCAGGTTATCCAGTTGTCTGTTAGCAGAGATAACCCAGTTTAATCCAGGGAGGCAGACATGACAGGGAGGGACATCTGGGAAGTGGTCCTTTGTGACCAGCAGCTGCTGGACATGAAGCCCACCCTTGGTCCAGAGGCTGCTGGGCAGGAGCAGGACAGAATTGTCCTTCCTGGTGTGGGAGAGAGGATAGTTGGTGAAGCTTGAGTGTGGTCCACAGGGAGGAGCACCCTGGGTGGGCCTTTGCCAGTGTTGGGGCCCTTCCAGAAGCAACCAGCCCGGGTATTAGGAAGCAAGCTAGTCCAGTCCAGGCCAGTGAGGAAGGGGGCCTTCTAGGGCATCAGAGACAGGGGCCAGCTCTCCTCTCTTTTTCAGCTCCAGGCACGAGCCGTGTCTCTACATGTGTGTTTCATCCTTTCAGCAAGTTCTCTCTCCAGCTTCTCCTGGGGGGAAAAAAAAACCCAGGGAAGGGCTCTGATTGGCCCAGCATGGGTGACTTTACCAAACTACCAATCATGGTGGCCAGGAGAGAGAGGTACTGCCCCACCCATTCACACACACCGGGGAGGCCAGGAGAACAGTGTGGTAAGGGGAAGAAGAAGAGGTGACAAGGGCAGGGTTACTGGAGGGAGGGGCCCCCAAGCTGTGCTGTACCCACCCCCAGTGACAGAGCACCTGCCATGTGTGGGGCCCGGGCTCTGCGTGACGTGCTCACACGCTCTGTCTTCAGTTTTCATAGCTGTTCATCACCTGTTGAGTGTGGATAGGGTGGAGGGGGGGATGCTTCCAGCATTCCATCTCCCCCGGGGCAGTAGAGGTGGTCTCTTCCGTAAAGTAAGTGCCCCGAAGGAAGTGATTGTTCAGTGGAGCCTCCTGCAAACTTTGTTCCATAGGCTACCAGATCTGAAGGTAGCTGCCCCTGGACTTCATATTTACGTGTGAATAACAAACAAAAGAATTGAGAGACAACTGGTTCGGCTCCATATATGCTCCAAAAGTAGGACCAACACTGCCCAACCCCGCTGCCCCCAAGGCCAAGCAAAGCATTGCCAAATCTGTGCCTCAATTCTTGTCATGTATCTTAATTAGCACATATTAGAGATTCTTTAAGTCACTTGGGTGCTACAAAGATAAGACTCATAGAAGTTAATAATAATAAAAGCCAGGAATTATCGATGGCAGGCCCTAGGCTGGGTGCTTGATGCTCACTGTCTTTTTGAATCCTCACAGCAACATATAAAGTAAGTAATATCATCACGGTTTTATAAATGAGGAAACAGAGTGACTGAGTAACTTGCCCAGGTCACACAGCGATGGGGGTTGGAATCGTGGACGCAGTTCACTGTGTCTTTGACTTGTAGAAGCTGTAGAAGGTTTAGAACAGCCTTTACTGAACCAAGGGACATTGGTGGCTCTTGCCTACAAGCTCTGCCTTTTCTTGCACCTGGCAAATCTTCCATTGGGCCTCATACTGGGCCAGTCAGGTTCTTGCCTGTGTGGATGTTCAGTTATTTCCTGCTGTGGCATGAGGAAGGGACCATGTGGCCATCTTTGCCAGGAGGAGACCTCCTAGAGATAGAGAGAAACAGCCCCACCACACTGTTGGGTCCGTGGATCCAGCCAGATGTGAAGGTAGTCACCCGTGGACTTCATATTT